TGTAAATGGTCCAGATCCCCACCCCTAAACCATATATATTCTGGTTTTTCATGATAAAGCACATCAAATGAAATACAGGGTTAGTCCCCAGGGGTCATCCCAACCCCCTGCCATTTGAGAAAGTTCTAATATCTTGTAAGTGGTCAAGATCCCCACCCCTAAACCATATATATTCTGGTTTGTCATGCTAAGATGGTTTGAATGATATACAGGGTTAGTCCCCAGGGGTCATCCCGACCCCCTGCCATTTGAGAAAGTTCTAATATCTTTTAAATGGTTGAGATCCCCACCCCTAAACCATATATATTCTGGTTTGTCATGATAAAGCACATAAAATGAAATACAGGGTTAGTCCCCAGGGGTCACCCCCACCCCCTGCCATTTAAGAAAGTTCTAATATCTTGTAAGTGGTCAAGATCCCCACCCCTAAACCATATATATTCTGGTTTGTCATGCGAAGATGGTTTGAATGATATACAGGGTTAGTCCCCAGGGGTCATCCCGACCCCCTGCCAATTGAGAAAGTTCTAATATCTTGTAAATGGTTCAGATCCCCACCCCTAAACCATATATATTCCTATTTGTCATGTCTGTAACATTTGAATGACGTATACGGTCAGTCCCCAGGGATTCCCCCCACCCCCAATGTTCTAGTATCTTGTAAATGGTCGAGATCCCCACCCCTAAACCATACATATTCTGGTTTGTCATGCCAAGATGATTTGAATGATATACAAGGTTAGTCCCCAGGCATCACTAATGCATATAACTTTACTGGACCAAACCAATATTCACTGCATGTTGCCCAATGTCAGGTGACCCTGGCAATTACGAATTATGGGAGCTTCTTTTGGGAGACTTCGTAACAGCATCCTGTTACAATCATTTCTTGTTGATTATTGATATTAATGTTAATTTTAGGTATTCATGGTAATTCTTGTATACATTTTTCTTTAAGACTCTTTAACATAAAGTCTATCATGAACAGTTAAGCAGGCAAGACATTTCAGCATATGCATTATTTTTGATTCATCCATGCTGGATCTATGCGATCACTCTGGTTTTGGAGATGGTGAAGAATACTAAGTTGAAGACATATGATGAAACTAATTATGTGTTTTTATGACTTGCAGAAACTTTCTACACCATTTTAATCATAAACTGCCAACTTTTGACATGTTATTTTCTCTTAAATTACGAAAAGATTGGTCGAACAACCCTTTTCTTTTAGATGTACACTTGCATATAGTTCCTTTGTAAATCAAAATTTATAATAATTTACTATTTATGAATTAATTTGAAAAAGTATTTGTACATCAATTGAATCAGTTAGTAAGAATTTTGAAAGTATTATATTAGTATCTTATGCTTCTTTAAGTTATTGTTCAATGAACTTTGGGTCAAGATGTGTATTAATATATCTAAGTTGATTCCCACTCTTTTTTGAAATGGTATTACTCTAATTCTTTCCATAGTCAATATGATTATCAACTGTCATGATTTTCAAATAATTACACTCAAAGGTGTAAGTATTAATTGGAAACAACCCCAGTCTTAATTCACCACAGTTAATATCTCATGACCTGTTACATAATTAAATAGACACAATTTATTACACACCTCACTGAATACACACACTCTTGACCTCAATAGTAAACCTACAAATGTATTATTTATTTTGATCTACACTACATTAAAATATTCTGTTAATTTTGCTAGCTAGCTGAATGATTAATCAGATGTGTTTTTTTTTCAAAGAAAAGACAAAAAATGAAAAAAATAGGTATAAAAAATGCAAGCAAATTTTATTTCACTTGTAAAATCAGTGTCATTATCATCTGACATAAGTCAATAATCAAGTTCTAATTAATTAGTTACAATTATCAGAAATTTGGTTGAAACAATAAACAAAATTGCATTACTCTTACCTGAGCATTTTCTGCAATAAAATTTATTTGTCTTGTTCTACATTTATATCCCATTATATTGCTATTTAATAGTAATTGGAAATATCTCAGCATTAGGTATTTGTACATTTAAATTTGAATACAGGACATGTATTTTTTCTTAATGAAGAATGAACACCAATTTAGATAAAAAATAGTTATTATTTTTTTTAAATTTTTGTTGGTGAGAAAGTGCATTTCAAAGGCCTCTTTCTGGAAATTATTAAGCCAGTTATTATTAAAGGCATATAAAAAATATATTACTGGTTTGACAATTTCCCTTTCCATTCTTGTCAATACCATTAAATTGCAAATATCTATAAAAAAAAATCTTGATAGAGTCTAAAATTGAAATATCAATATATATATAAATCAATATTTGCATCAATATTGCGAAATTCCCTACCTTTGGATAAACAGAAATTTTACAGTAAGATTGGAAATGGAAAGAGAAAAAAATATATAGAAGTATGGTCAGAAAGAATATCAGACTAGCTATGAATATGGCTGGATCACAACATCGACGATGCTTTTTAATTTTTGGTTTGCTGTTTTGTTAATCAATACCTTGTATCTCTTTTTCTTCTGGTTACAGAATTAATGATTATTTTAACCTCATTTTCAAACAGAAAACAGGTTATTAACTTGAGTTGTACAGTGGTTTGGGCAAATGGTCATTAAGGCCAGCTATCGTTTATTCTGTTATAAACAACAAATACTGTAATGTTTGTTGTACATGATATTTCTTCCATTTGGAACTTTTATAATAAAAGGACTTCTATTTTGTTACATATCCAGCTGTTTAAGTGCATAGATTTATTTATTGTTCATACAATGCTTTTCAAATTTTAAAATGTTGTTATTGTTGAAAAAATGGAGGTCAAAATTTACAATGATCCTTTTTTTGCTATTCAGGAGTTATGGTCCTTGATTCATTGGAAAATTATTGAAGTTTATCTGGTTTCTGTGAAACTTTAGAACCTTTCAACCAATGGTTTTCAAATTTTAAAAGTTGTTACTAATGGCAAATTGCATATTGATGATTTTTATACAAACGCAAAAAATTTTGCGGTCGTATATTGGTATGACGTTGGCGTCGTCGTAGTTTTCATCGTCGTCCGAAGACACATTGGTTTTCGCACAATAACTTTAGTTTAAGTGAATGGATCTCTATGAAATTTTACCATAAGGTTCAATACCACAAAAGGAAGGTTGGGATTGATTTTGGGGGTTATGGTACCAACAGTTAAGGAATTAGGGGCCAAAAATAAGCATTCTAGTTTCCAGACGATAACTTGTGGAACGTTGTATGGATCTCTCTGAAATTATGCCACAAGTTTCCATACCACAAAGGGATGGTTAGGATTTGCTTGTGGGGGTTATGGCTCAAACCGTTTAGGAATTAGGGGCAAAAAAGGGGGGGAAAACAAGGGTGTCCTGGTTAATGGACAAATACTTTAGTACAAAACATAATTTAAAGCAGTGTAAGGGAGGTAATTCAAATACATCATTTGAATTACCTCCCTTACACTGCTTTTAAATTATGTATAAAGTAATGGTTAATGAACAATTAAGACAATTTAAAAGCAGTGTAAGGGAGGTAATCCAAATACAATGTTTTGATTACCTCCCTTTCACTGCTTTTAAATTATGTTTAAAGAAATGCATATTTATTAAGGAAGACCAGTAAAAATATCTGCAAATGTTGCATCTTTTTTTTTTTTTACAAAAAAATTCATACGAAAGATTTGACACCATATTTTAAATTCTATTATGAAATAGATTAAGTTACTTGTAGCACTATGGTAAATTCAAATGGGTAATTATGGTTGCAAACTCCATTGGAAATTTGAATTGAGATAATTGAGGAAAAGAATTTTTGGGGGGAAAAAGGGGGGGGGGGGGGTGAAAAGAAGTTGAGGGGGGTCAATTATTTCTCATTTCAGATTTCAGAAATTAAAAAGAAAAATCTTTAAATATTATTTTTTTTGCAAAAAAAGTGTGTGTGTGGTTGGGGGGGGGGGGGGGGAGGTTATTAAGCAACAGCATAGTGTATTCACAAAAGCAAAAAAGGGGGGGGTAATTTTTTTTGTTTTTTTTGGGGGGGGGGGGAGGGGTGAATTCGCAACAGCAAAGTGTATTGCACAAAAGCAAAAAATTGAATATAAATTCAAATCATTTGACAACTGTTATTCTGTGTCAGAAACCTTTTATGTGTCAAATATTTAATTACAATCCAAATTCAGACCTGTATCAAGCGCCAATATTGCTTCCATTTTTGCCCCAACTGTTCAGGGTTGGAACTCTGCGGTCGTATCCAGCTGCACTCGGCGAAGCAATTTATTACCTTTGCAGTTATGATCCTTGATGAATTGAGAAATGGTGCTGTATTGGTTTAACAATGACACTAATAAATGCAATAAATACATGCTTTACTATATACTTGACAGCCTCTTGTATGAATATTTAGTTTATATTACCTGTATCAAAATAAGAAAAAAAATAAAAATGCAGAAAACTGAAAAGATGAAAAAGGGTAATTTATTTTGTGCAATTTGCCAGCTTTTATTTAAGATGTTTGTGCAACTTACCAGCTTTTATTTAAGGTGTTTTTGTGCAACTTACCAGCTTTTATTTAAGGTGTTTTTGTGCAACTTACCAGCTTTTATTTAAGGTGCTTATGTGCTTCTTACCAGCTTTTATTTAAGGTGTTTTTGTGCAACTTACCAGCTTTTATTTAATGTGTTTTTTGTGCTGAAAGGACATTCATTATTTGTTGTGTTTCTGATTTTCAAATCAGATGTATCAAACATCATTAAGATATGAACATAGATATAATTTTACAGTAATTTTGGAGTAATGTCTTTCAACGTAATCTGTAAATAAATCTGCATATGGCTCTCTTTTATTACCTTCAATTATATGTACCGTTTAAACAAGTTTTGTAAAAAAAAGGCTCAGTAATGTAACATTCCAAACATAGATCACATATGTCGAGCCTTGAAAATAAAATCAAATTAATACTTTAATTTCTTATTTCTTATATTTAATTAGGAACAGAAATTTCTTCAGAACTGCCACAAATATATTGGAAGCACAGAAAACAAGACTTCTCTGAGGTCATTATTTTATCCTGCTCTTCAAGAAGGTAATAATAAGTTTAAAAAAACATTTAGTTTTGATTGGGAAGAAGATTAAAAGAATATGCACATTTAAAGTGTCTTTAATTTTAGTGATTAGGAAAAAATAAAGAAGAAATTCTGATTACTGTGATTATGCAAGATGTATGAGGGTCTTGATGGGGGTCCTTTATTTCTTTATCCTTTAATTTTTTTTGTCATTTTTCTCTATTCATTATTTATTTTGCCCATCATTCCCATTATTATCCGTATTCTTTATATTTTAGCACCCCATTATTTTCAGACCTTAATTATGTTTGCTTAATTTTCTTTGTTCTTTATTTGTTTGCCCTTTATTCTGTACTTTTTGCACATTTTGTATTCTTTGTATCTCATCCAGACCCTCATGTAATAACTGGTGTTGGTAGTGTGACACACTCCTAGCAGGTGCATTACATTTGTGCACATTTGGGGATTTATTTTATTTACTATTGTGCATAATATTTTTTATTACATTTGGGCATTTTCGTTTTTCAAGGTAAAACAATTGTATCGATAATTCATAATAAATATATATATGTTGAAAAGTTTGGGGTATTTAACAAAATGTGTTTAAAATTTTTCATATTGGGGTAATAAATTCTTTTCGTTTGATCAATTTAATATCAAATAACTGTAAGAAATCCTGTAAGAGCTTAAGGCATACTGAAAAGTGAACAGTAATTTTTTTCCAGAGAATACTGAATGCTGAACACTTAAAAATAGATAAATTATGTCAATTTTGACCGTTACGCCAAAACATATTAAGCATTTTTGTTGAGAGAAAGAGAGACATAGGGATCCTGGATTCCGTCATTGGCATCAACATGTTGGTTCAGTCTATGGTTAAAAATTTTTTTAGACATCAATAACTTTGTCAAACTTTAATGGAATTTAAGGAAATTTGGACAGAAGCTTGTTTATGACCAAAATACAGTATCCAGAGCAAAATTTTGAAAAAAAATATTTTCATTTTCCTGTATTTTACTGATAAATGGACTTACCGGTATTTTTTTTATTTTACAGTTAACATTTAGAATTGGTGTGAGGTTAAAGTTATTCAGTCATCAATAACTTTGTTAAACCTTCAATAAATTTTACGAAATTTGGACAGAAGCTTGTTTTATGACCAAAATACAGTATCTAGAGCAAAATTTTGGAAAAAAATATTTTTATTTTCCCATAATTTATTGATTAATGGACTTAGTATTTTTTACAGTTAGCATTAAAAATTAGTCTGAGGTTAAGTTTTTCAGTCATCAATAACTTTGTCAAACATTCATGGAATTTTAGGAAATTTGGACAGAAGCTTTATAGTTAAGACCAAAATGCAGTATTCAGGTCAAAAATTTGAAAATATTTCTTTTCTTTTCCTGTATTTAACTGACAGTTTTTTTTTACATTTAACAAATAGATACAGTCTACGGTTAAAGTTTATTACAAATCAATTATTTTAACAAACCTTCATAGAATTTTATGCAACTTTGGCAGAAGTTTTTTTATGATTAATTGATAATGTCTGAAGGTGTAATACCACCATTGATTTCCCCTATTAAGTCTTCGTTAAATTTGCACTTTTCAAAAATAGTGCAGAATTTATCTTTGTTTCAAATAAAGAAATACCTGGCATGAGTAAAGTTTTATCCTGTCTAGTACTATAGACGAAATTTCACATAACATTTCATTGCATATAAGAAAATAACCATCACTGGAAGTTAACCAATCAAATTTGAACCCCTTTTTTTCCTGTGTACAAGCTTTAGTAACCATGTAACCTCAAGTTCCCAAAATTTTCTATAGAAACACCAAATAAAAAAACAACGGTGCTTTGAAAACCCAATATATATGTTTATGACTCAGAAATTTTTTACTGCAATGAAGTGTAGGATTAAATTCCCACAACTGTCAAATTCAAGGGAATATTTCTTTTCTACCCTTTTTCGTATGCAACCGGATGTGGCGTACTATGATTTGGTGGTATTACACCTAAAGAAGACTATTTTGTTGAATGAACTAAATGTGATTTTTAACCGAATTTTCGAAGGAAATATTGGTTATTGATTGGGGTATGTACTGCGGGCGGAAGGGCGGCTGCCAAACAGTGTCTCTTCAATAACATGAAAATGCTGTGATGATTTTTTATACCCCTGCTTTAAATATACCCCCGCTTTAAAAAGGGGGGGTATACTGTTTTACCTCTGTCTGTCCTTCCGTCAGTCCATCAGTCCGTCTGTCCCATGAATAATTTCGTCGCATTTTTCTCAGGAACTACTTGACAAGGATTTCTGAAATTTGGTTTCAGGGTTTATATAAGTCAGCTATACCGTGTGATGCGTTTTCAGATTAATCACTCAACAACTTCCTGTTTACCGTCAAATATATGGGCTGGGGGTATCATCAGTGAGCAGAAGCTTGCAGTTTCACTTGTTTTTCCTTTGTAATACTGGTTATTTCAAGCATTACTGTCAAGTTTTGTCATAATTAGTTCAATAGTTTGAGAAGAATCTAGTATAATGTAAGACAACATCTACAGTGATTCGAGCAAAATTTCTATGAAAAATCCAAATCAAGCTGCATCATGATAGAATATAGTGTGGACCAATAAATGATCAAATATTTATCTCATCTGCATAAAAACAGTGGAATATGATACAAAAGATGACTCTAGGATGATAAATACCACTAATGGACCTATTTGTCTTTATTATAAGGTTCCTTTTGGTCCATTTATACCTCTAATTTCCTCAAAATTTCAACTTTTTAGGCCAATAAATAAAAAAATTGGGGTAACTTTCACTCATTTATGAAAGAAATGTAAAAGCTTCCCTTTTAGTGAATAATTTGTTGTTACTGCTTAAAAAATTATTTCATTTACTAATAACTATATATTTATTAAAGTATTACTTAGGAAAAAGTTTTCTATTATAGCAAATTATAAGAAATAAGGAGGAAAATTCAGAAAAAGCTCCCCAAAACACTGAGTATGGCTTGATGTGTCTACTAATATTAGTGGTAGAGTCCTATTTCAAGACAATTTTCTCATAAAATGTGTTTTTGAGACTCAATCCACTCAGAATATTTCATTTTTGTAATATTTCCCTTAAATAGCATGAAATTTTAACAAATGAGAGTACACACAAGGTCATATGTGCATGTGCAGCTTCCCATATTAGGTGTAATAAATACCGCCATTGATTTTCCCCTGTTAGTCTTTGTAAAATTTGCACTTTTCAAAAAATTGTGCAGAATTTATCTTTGTTTCAGATAAAGAAATACTTGGCATGAGTAAAGTTTTATCCTGGCCATGCAGTACTATAGACAAAATTTCACATAATATTCATTGCATATAAGAAAATAACCATCATTCAAAGTTAACCAATCAAATTTGCACCCCTTTTTTTCCTGTGTACAAGCTTTAGTAACCATGTAACCTCAAGTTTCCAAAATATTCTATAGAAACACCAAATAAGAAAACAACGGTGCTTTGAAACACCCAATATATATGTTTATGACTCAGAAATTTTTTACTGCAATGAAGTGTAGGATTAATTTCCTACAACTGTCAAATTCAAGGGAATATTTTTTTCGCCCCTTTTTCGTATGCAACCAGATGTGGCGTACTATGATTTGGTGGTATTACACCTGAAGCAAACTTTTGAACATATATTTTTTCATTTTCAGTATTTTTCTGATAGATGGACTTAGGTTTTTACAGTTAACATTTACAGACAGTCTGGGATTAAACTTTTTTGACATGATAAATTTGTAAACCTTCATGGAATGTTATGAAACTTGGACAGAAGCTAATCTTCAAGACCATGAAATAGCATCTAAAGAAAAAGTTTGAATTTTTTTTTAAATTCTGTATTTTACTGATAAATGGACTAACTTTTTAGTCAACATTATGCTTTTACACAGAGACAGCAGCAATCGCAGTAGCTGTGGAACTGTAGCTCTTAGGTTCTTATGTTGTTTTTTGACTATTTGCGGACCATAGTCCGCAAATAGTCAAAAAATAACATAAGGACCTAAGAACTACGGTTCCGCAGCAGCAATCGCAGGTGAGACAGGGTTCCGTAGAACCCCATACAAATTTTTGTGTTTCTTGACACTATGTTGGAATTTCGAACAACCACATATCCTGAACTTAGGGCTTGACACACCAGTTGTTACAGGCAGAAGTGAGAAAGAGGCTTGACATATTCAGCATGTGAATGGTCATGTAAGATCAGAAGTATTTAATCTTGAGATTTCATAGGTTTTAATTGGCATTTTATATTTTATAGAACTAGTTTTATATAAATAAACATAATCTACCTGTATTTACTAGTTAAATGAATGTGTACAAATGTAATAAAAAGTTGGGCGCAATTGTAATGATTTTTACGTGCAAAGTTAATGGTCATGCATGCAGATCTAATGAATTGCTCTTACCAAGAAATGAATGGGGGAGCTCAATTTTCTGACCCTTCACAATTTTCTGTACATTTCCTGCTGCATCCTTAAATTGTTCCCCTTTCTTTGTCCATTCTCACTCCCTTTTCATTTTTGGCCGGGACATATATAATAATTTTTTGCAAGTTTTCAAGAAAATCTAGGTTTTGAAACATAATTACAAAAAGTAAATGAACATTTAGCATAAACTGCACCTGAAATACATTTCTTAATTCAAGTACATCATGTACATAAATATTCAAGTACACAGTACATAAATATTCTAGATTAGAACATACATGAAAATTCAAAATCTTGCCTAGGTTATAATAACTGTATTTTACTGACATGCCAAATGTATGAATAACATATCAATGTTTGCTCCTTCATCCCTATATCCAAGTACTGTGGATTCATCATTATTAGTTGGATACCAATTCGTGGATTTAGTGGGTCTTTTGAACTATTAGTTTGTTTATATGTTCACCGAATTACAAATTCTCCATAGGAAAATATGCAATATTTGGCAAAACCACGAAATCAAATATCCATGATTATGGAAGTTTTCCTCAATCCACGAAAAATTGTACCCACAAAAATAAGTTATTCCACAGTAATGTTAAGGGGAGTGCTTCAGTGTAGTTCTTATTTTCGTTTTTTTTCACAGTGATTAAAGAAGGACAAGTTAGATGTGGTGAACATTCTGATTATGGCAGTTTGACCTTGTTATTCCAAGATCAGATTGGTGGGCTAGAGGTGAGAATTCATAATTTATTTTTATCTTTTAGTCTTTGAGATCCAAATATTTAGAGTTCAATACAGGTCAAAACCTAAACAGGATAGTCACTGTTGTAAAATTGATTTTCCATTTTTGATTCATTTGGATGCACTGGGTTTTCATTATATATTTACACTAGATTGTGTTTAACACCCAAAGAGTTCTATCAAATCAAATACAAAAAGTATTAAAAATATTCATGAATCCAGTTTTTATACGACCGCAAAAATTAAAAATTTTTTGGTCGTATATTGGTATGACGTTGGCGTCGTCGTCATCGTCGTCTTCGTCTGGCGTCGTCCGGCGTCGTCCGAAGACACATTGGTTTTTGCACTCTAACTTTAGTTTAAGTGAATGGATCTCCATGAAATTTTACCATAGGGTTCAATACCCCGAAAGGAAGGTTGGGATTGATTTTGGAGGTTATGGTACCAACAGTTAAGGAATTAGGGGCCAAAAAGGGGCCAAAAATAAGCATTTTTGTAACTTCCAGACAATAACTTGTGTGTAAGTGTATGGATCTCTCTGACATTGTACCACAAGGTTCCATATCACAAAGGAAAGGCTGTAATTGATTTTGGGGGTAATTGCCTCAAAATTTTAGGAATTAGGGGCCAAAAAAGGGGCAAAAAACAAGCATTTTTCTAGTTTCATGACAATTACTTGTGTGTAAGTGTTTGGATATTTCTGAAATTGTACTACAAGGTTCCATATCACAAAGGGAAAGCTGGAATTGAGTTTGGGGGTAATTGCCCGAAACGTTTAGGAATTGGGGGCCAAAAAGGGGCCAAAAATAAGCATTTTTCTAGTTTCCAGACAATAACTTGTGTTCAAGTGTATGGATCTCTCTGAAATTGTACTGCAAGGTACAATACCACAAAGGGAAGGCTGGGATTGAGTTTGGGGGTGATGAATCATAAGGGGGTTCAAAAAATTTGGGGGGGGGGGATTTTTTTTACTTTTTTTTTCTTTTTTTTCCTTTTTTTTTTCTTTTAAAATTTTCCATTTTAAGTTGGTTATTTCTGATTAATATTTAAAAGCAAATAATAATGATATGGTAGGAGATACACACCAAACAGGATGTGTAAATCATTATATAATAAGTATTGTGCAATAGCAAGAAATTTTCAATTGCACAGTATTGCACAATAGCAAGAAATCTTCAATTGCACAGTATTGCGCAATAGCAAGAAATCTTCAATTGCACAGTATTGCGCAATAGCAAGAAATATCCAATGGCACAATATTGCGCAATAGCAAGAAATTGTCAATTGCACAGTATTGTGCAAAAGAAGATACTTCGTATAAATTGCTTATTTCTTGATCAATTTCAATGGGGTTTTATTCTTGAATTCTTGGGGTTCTTTAATATGCTGAATCTAACCGTGTATTAAGTTTCTGGATTTTGGGCCCCGTTTTTAAATTGGTCCACATTGAGGTCCAAAGGGTCCAAAATTTAACTTTGTTTGATTTCATCAAAAATTGAATTATTGGGGTTCTTTGATATGCCGAATCTAACCGTGTATTTAGATTCTTAATTTTTGGTTCCGTTTTCAAATTGGTCTACATTAAGGTCCAAAGGGTCCAAAATTAAACTAAGTTCGATTTTAACAAAAATTGAATTTTTAGGGTTCTTTGATATGCTGAATCTAAACATGTATTTAGATTTTTGATTATGGGCCCAGTTTTTAAGTTGGTCCAAATCGGGGTCCAAAATTAAACTTTGTTTGATTTCAACAAAAATTGAATATATGGGGTTCTTTGATATGCTGAATTTAACCATGTATTTAGATTTTTGATTTTTGGGCCCCGTTATCAACTTTGTCCACATTGAGGTCAAAAGGGTCCAAAATTAAACTTTGTTTGATTTCATCAAAAATTGAATTCTTGGGGTTCTTTGATATGCTGAATCTAACCATGTATTTAGATTTTGGATATTGGACCATAATAGGTGAATGTCCAATTTAAAATTTTTAAGTTCTTAGACCACATTCATTCTGTGTCAGAAACCTATGCTGTGTCAAATATTTAATCACAATTCAAATTCAGAGCTGTATCAAGCTTGAATGTTGTGTCCATACTTGCCCCAACTGGTCAGGGTTCGACCTCTGCGGTCGTATCAAGCTGCGCCCTGCGGAGCATTTTATTGAACCATGTAATTCCTTAAAAACAAATAGTAAATAATCAATTAGTTATCATCCTTTATATAGTCACAAGGCAAAAGTTATTAGAAAATGTATTTGCAATATCTTTTACATTTTTGCTTCATATTGTGTATCATAGTTCATCCGTACCTTTAAGTTTGTGAGAAATTGAGAAAACACAAATCTGTTTTCATAAAAAAAGACAAGAAATACAATTCCATTTTAAGGTTAGGAACTGTGAAGACCAATATGTACATGCCACACCGATACCAGGCACTGTTGTTGTCAATATTGGTGATCTGATGCAAAGATGGACAGCTGATAAATTGAAGGCTACTGTAAGTATTATCATATAAATAATAGGTTGAAATGTTGGTTAAAAATGGATAAGACAGAATCTGAACAATACATGTTTTATTCCTTCTTTTACTTTAATATTTACCCTTTCATTTGTAACCATGCCCTTAATTTTTATACGACCGCAAAAAAATTTTTGTGGTCGTATATTGGTATGACGTTGTCGTCGTCGTCGTCGTCGTCTGGCGTCGTCCGGCGTCGTCCGAAGACACATTGGTTTTCGCACTCTAACTTTAGTTTAAGTGAATGGATCTCTATGAAATTTTACCACAAGGTTCAATACCACAAAAGGAAGGTTGGGATTGATTTTGGGGGTTATGGTACCAACAGTAAAGGAATTAGGGGCCAAAAAGGGGCCAAAAATAAGCATTTTTGTAACTTCCAGACATAACTTGTGTGTTAGTGTATGGATCTCTCTGACATTGTACCACAAGGTTCCATATCACAAAAGGAATGCTGGGATTGATTTTGGGGGTAATTGCCTCAAAATTTTAGGAATATGGGGCCAAAAAAGGGGCAAAAAACAAGCATTTTTCTAGTTTCATGACAATAACTTGTGTGTAAGTGTATGGATTTTTCTGAAATTATACTACAAGGTTCCATATCACAAAGGGAAAGCTGGAATTGAGTTTGGGGGTAATTGCCCAAAACTTTTAGGAATAAGGGGCCAAAAAAGGGCCAAAAATAAGCATTTTTCTAGTTTCCAGACAATAGCTTGTATTCAAGTGTATGGATCTCTCTGAAATTGTACTGCAAGGTACCATACCACAAAGTGAAGGCTGGGATTGATGATGGGGGTAATTGCCTCAATATTTTAGGAATATGGGGCCAAAAAGGCAAAAAACAAGCATTTTTCTAGTTTCAGGACAATAACTTGTGTGTAAGTGTATGGATCTTTCTGAAATTGTACTACAAGGTTCCATATCACAAAGGGAAAGCTGGGTTTGAGTTTGGGGGTAATTGCCCTAAACGTTGAGGAATTTGGGGCCAAAAAGGGGCCAAAAAACACATTTTTCTAGTTTCCAGACAATAACTTGTGTTCAAGTGTATGGATCTCTCTGAAATTGTACTGCAAGGTACCATACCACAAAGGGAAGGCTGGGATTGAGTTTGGGGGTAATGAATCATAAGGGGGTTCAAAAAATTTGGGGGGGGGATTTTTTTTTTTTCCTTTTTTTTCCTTTTTTTCCTTTTTTTTCTTTTAAAATTTTCCATTTTAAGTTGGTTATTTTTGATTTATATTTAAAAGCAAATAATAATGATATGGTAGGAGATACACACCAAACAGGATGTGTAAATTATTATATTATAAGTATTGTGCAATAGCAAGAAATTTTCAATTGCACAGTATTGCACAATAGCAAGAAATCTTCAATTGCACAGTATTGTGCAATAGCAAGAAATCTTCAATTGCATAGTATTGCGCAATAGCAAGAAATATCCAATAGCACAATATTGCGCAATAGCAAGAAATTGTCAATTGTACAGTATTGCGCAATAGCAAGAAATATTTAATTGCACAGTATTGTGCAAAAGAAGATACTTCGTATAAATTGCTTATTTCTTGACCAATTTCAATGGGGTTTTATTCTTGAATTCTTGGGGTTCTTTAATATGCTGAATCTAACAGTGTATTTAGTTTTTTGATTGTGGGCCCCGTTTTTAAATTGGTCCACATTGAGGTCCAAAGGGTCCAAAATTAAACTTTGTTTGATTTCATCAAAAATTGAATTATTGTGGTTCTTTGATATGCCGAATCTAACCGTGTATTTAGATTCTTAATTTTTGGTTCCGTTTTTAAATTGGTCTACATTAAGGTCCAAAGGGTCCAAAATTAAACTTAGTTTGATTTTAACAAAAATTGAATTCTTAGGGTTCTTTGATATGCTGAATCTAAACATGTATTTAGATTTTTGATTATGGGCCCAGTTTTCAAGTTGGTCCAAATCGGGGTCCAAAATTAAAATTTGTTTGATTTCAACAAAAATTGAATATATGGGGTTCTTTGATATGCTGAATCTAACCATGTATTTAGATTTTTGATTTTTGGGCTCCGTTATCAACTTTGTCCACATTGAGGTCAAAAGGGTCCAAAATTAAACTTTGTTTGATATCAACAAAAATTGAATTCTTGGGGTTCTTTGATATGCTGAATCGAACCATGTATTTAGATTTTGGATATTGGACCATAATAGGTGAATGTCCAATTTAAAATTTTTAAGTTCTTAGACCACATTCATTCTGTGTCAGAAACCTATGCTGTGTCAAATATTTAATCACAATCCAAATGCAAAGCTGTATCAAGCTTGAATGTTGTGTCCATACTTGCCCCAACTGTTCAGGGTTCGACCTCTGCGGTCGTATCAAGCTGCGCCCTGCGGAGCATTTTATTGGAAAATGTACAGGTTCAGTTTCAAAGCTGCACATGCAGTCCCCTTTTCTTGTATCACAATATTGTTAAAACTGCAGGTTTAAAATTTTGTTTATGAAAAAATTAGAATTTCAAAGAGCAGTAAGAAATCAATGGTTTTTGGTTTTTTGTTAACAATTCATTATTACTCAATTGTATAATGAACCTCACCTTGGTTTTCATAGCAAATATAATATATAAAAATCAAGTGTCCTTTCTTAGATTTAGATATTTCAGTTTTACACCAGAAACTCTACACAAAAATTTATGACAAATGGGATGATTTTTCTTTCCCTATTGTTAATTTTCCTTTTTTGAATGGTGATGTTCCTCTGGCACCATCTTGCGCTGTTTATATATCCCAACTCCTTCGTTATGCCAGTGTCTGTAGTGACGTTTTGGATTTTTATGAGCGTAATCTATGTGTATGTTTCTCGTTTTTTATATAGATTATACCGTTGGTTTTCCCGTTTGAATGGTTTTACACTAGTAATTTTTGGGGCCCTTTACAGCTTGCTGTTCGGTGTGTGAGCCAAGTCTCCCTGTTGAAGACTGTACTTTGACCTATAATGGTTTACTTTTATAAATTTTTACTTGGATGGAGAGTTGTCTCATTGGCACTCATACCACATCTTCTATATAATTACTGGTTAATTATTTAGTCAGGGATTTCATTACCACAAATTACTTAAAACCTTTACTAAATTCTTCCATAGATACAAAGATTTGGTTTGCAAGTTTGGCTGTACCTGTAAAATACTTATTTCAGACAGAATAGCACATCCTTAATTTTTACAGTGATGTTGTTTACCCAGCCCAGAAATTTATATACGATCCCGGTAAACTTATCAATACTTTAAAAAAAACTTATTCTAATTCAACACTGTAATTAGATCTTTGAATATTGTTTTTATTGGTATAAATATTGATTTTGTCACCAGTAAATTAAAATAATACTAATAGTTTTGTTATACACTTATGCACTTTTAACAGTACTACAATCTGTCGATCCTTTATTTTGGCATTGCACAAAGCCTTGTTTTTCTCTGACTGTAATTGACGTCTTTACACTAAATCCATTGGATGTTGGATGTGTACTGATTGATATTTTAGTCTTAGATACATGATTTTTTTTATTAGTTGTTATTGGCTTTGAACTAGCTGTCAGTAACTGCGAGTACTCTCTGATCTGTGCTTAGTGTCCTTTTTGTTGTTAGGGATGAGGGATGGATAAATACCCTGCCACGTCCGGTCTGTGTTTATGTTTGATGTTGTCCTGCTTTGTATTGATCTGATCAGTTAAACCTTTTTCAACTGATTTTTGTCGAGCCTGCAGTCATATGTCCATTGCCCTTGACCTCATTTTCATTGTTCAGTGACTACTTAAAAAAAAGTTAAGATTTTTTGTAATGTTAATATCTCTCTTATTATGAGTAATAGGATAACTATATTTGGGATGTGCATATATGTAACCTTGCAAGGTCCTCATGCCTGTCAGAGAGTTTTCACTTGACCTCGACCTCATTTCATGGATCAGTGAACAAGGTTAAGTTTTCTTGGTCAAGTCCATATCTCAGATACTATAAGCAATAGGTCTACTATATTTGGTGTATGTAATGATTGGAAGGTGGACATGTCCAGCTGGCAGGTGACATCTGACCTTCACCTAATTTTCATGGTTCAGTGGTAAAAGTTTAGTTTTGTATTTAGTCTGTTTTTCTAATACTGTATGCAATAGGTCAACTATATTTGGTGTATGGAAATATTTTATGATGAACATGCCCAACTAGCAGGTTTTATTTGACCTTGACCTCATTTTCAAGGTTCATTGCTCAATGTTAAGGTTTTGTATTTCGGTCTGTTTTGATCTGTTCTTCTAATATTGTATACAGTAGGTCAACTATATTAGGTGTATGGAAATATTTTACTATGTATGGAATATTTTTAAGGTGTATATATGTCTGTCTGGCAGGTTTCATCTGACCTTCACCTCATTTTCATGGCTCATTGGTCAATGTTCAGTTTTCATGGTTAACTTTGTTTCTTAGATACTATAAGCAATAGGTCAACTATATTTGATGCATTGAATGATTTTAAGGTGTACATGCCTATCTTGAAGGGTTCATCTGAACTTGAACTCATTTTCATGGTTCATTGGTCAATATAGAATTTCCATGGTTTGGTCTGTTTCTTTTGTACTATAAGCAATAGGTCATCTATATCCGGTGTAAAGAATGATTGTATTAAAGGTGTACATGTATATCTGGCTTGGTTTACCTGAACTTGACCTCATTTTTCTTGGATCATAAATGTTAATGTGATACTTGTAGTAAAAAAACTTTATATTTAGGACTATCAACATAAAATCAATGGTCAGTATAGTAGGCGAGACATTTCAGCGTGTGCACTCTTGTTTGTTATAGTTTGTTCTTATGTTGTGCTGTTACACCACTGTCCCAGGTTAGGAGAGGGTTGAGTGCTCACAAACATGTTTAACCCCACCACATTCTTTATGTTTCTGCCCCAAGTCAGGAGCCTGTAGTTCAGAGACTGTCGTTTGTTCATGTCTGTCATATTTGTTTTTCATTAATTGTTTTGTTATAAATTAGGCCATTAGTTTTCTCAATTGAATTGTTTCATATTTTTCATGTCGGGCCTTTTATAGCAGACTATATGGTATGGGTGGTATGATGAGACCAAATGACGTAAAAGTAAGCAACTGTTGGTCACCATACAACTTTATGTCCATTTCTCAGAAATATGTACTACATGTATAAGCAATAGGTCAACTACATGTGGAGAATGGAATAATTGTAAGGTGTTCATGCCTGTCTGGCAGGGTTCACCTGACCTAGACCTCATTTTCATGGTTCATTGTTTGACATTTAGTTTCATGTTTAGGTCCATTTCTCAGGTACATGTACTATAAGCAATAGTTCAACTATATGTGGTGTATGGAATACTTGTTAGGTGTTCATGTCTGTCTGGCAGGGTTCACCTGACCTTGACCTCATTTTCATAGTTCATTGTTTGACATTAAGTTTTTGTGGTTAGGTTTGTTTATCAAATATTATAAGCAAAAGGTCAACTACGTTTGGTGTATGAAATGATTGTAAGGTGTACATGTACCACTGGCAGGTTTCATCTGAACTTGAACTGGCCATTTTCATGGATCATTGATAATATTTAATTGATGCCTGTAGTAAAACCTTCATGTTAAAGACTTTCAACATAATTAATATAAATTTCAGTCATGATCATTAAGCAGGCAAGACATAACAGTGTGTGCAATCTTTTGTTGTTTATAATATTGTAATGAAATAACTTAGAATACTTGATTCAAACTTCCTAAAGGTGTTAAACAGAAATTTCAAATTTGGGTAGTTTCCATTTATTTAGGGTGAGGAACTCAACAATTTTAAAAGTAAAATACTCAAAATCAACTTTACTTCTCAGTTACTCTAACAAAAATTTTGTAATATACAGTATCTCAGAAATAACCATTTCTTGTGTATATAGCCAATGAACTTATATACATTGTAGGTGTTGAACAAAAGAACATCCAAAATATTGTCTCATTTAAAACTAATATAAGCTCAAGAAGCAAGATATTTGTTTTGAATATAATTTAGCTGTGTAATATTAAGTGATTGCTCTTAGACCTATAATACTGCCAGAACAGTGATTTAAACATTATGTTTTTCAGTCTGTGCATCCGTTCGTTCGTCTGTTGTACAGTCCGTCCGTTCGTCCGTTTGTCCCACTTCAGGCTCAAGTTTTTGGTCAAGGTAGTTTTTGATGAAGTTGAAGTCCAATCAACTGGAAACTTAGTACACATGTTCCCTATGATATGATCTTTCTAATTTTAATGCCAAATTGGAGCTTTGACCCCAAGTTCATGGTACACTGAACATAGAAAATGATAGCGCGAGTGGGGCATCCATGTACCATGGACACATTCTTGTTTTATCCTGTTTCTAAAATTTATTTTTTCAGAAACATAGAGTTCTAAATCCAAGTAATGAACAACAGAGGAGGCAGAATAGACAATCAATGGCATTTTTTGTTCAGCCAGATGATAAGTTAATTATTGAATGTCTGGATAAATCTAATAAATATGAACCAATCAGTAGCATTGACTACTTAAATTCAAGATTTAAAGTAACATACTGAAATGTACCATAATCCATTATCCATATTATTTATGTGATTTATTCTTATATTCAAACATTTATTTTAATTTGTAACATATATATATATCTACATCACTAGCCTGTCAACACTGATGTTGTGAGTTGGAAACCCAGCACATAGTAGGTGCGTTTGACTCTGATCTTAATTGACTAGGATTACCAGTTATCCAGTCGAGGGTCATGGTTCTCTCCGTGAACTCCGGCTTCCTCCACTAATAAAAAGTCACCACATAGCCAAGATTGCTAAAAGAAAAAAAAAATACTATTACAATGTGAAAAATAGACAAACTACTGAGCATATCTATACCTCTACTCTAAGAATGGGGATCATATTGAAATCATCTTTATCTGTCCATCTAGCTTTCATCCATCCATTTGTCCATCAAATATATTTCTCACACTTTTTCTTCAGTTGAAACCTTAAAAAATGACTTCCAATTTGTTTCACCAGCTTGACAGTGACTTGTTGTACTAACATTTGAACAGCTTTTAGATATAGGTCCGACATCTACTTCTTATTTGCCATATACTTTGAATTTTTCAACATTTTGAAGGAATTTAATATTTTTCATCACCCATTTCTCAAGTACTAATGAACGGATTATAACTTCATATTTAGTCAGTTGGTTGACAGTGATGAGTTGTAACATGTGAGCACTTTTCTGGGTCTCCAAAAATCTTCTTCCTATTTGCAATCATTTGATTTTTTCTGTATGTTTAATGAACTTAATATTTTCATCAAACCTTTCTCCTCCACTACAGAATGAGTTCTTATCTGGTTTGCAGCTTGACATTGAAAGATACCAAACGGATACTTTAAAGTCATAAGTCGAAAAAGATTTGAAAATAACATGGCAAAAAACGAAAAACGACAAAAAGACCAACAGTCTACAAAACACAGGTAATAAGCATATCCTGCTCCATATGTGGCGCCTGTGATGTTGTTCGTGTAGGTACACATTTGATGATAAAGCTTTTTCGGTAGGTCACAATTGAGGAAAAGAGGACAGGGTTGTGCTTACAACAATTGAAATATATCTGTCGTCATCTATGAAACATTCCATAACGGTAAACCAAGTTGTGATGGCATCCATAAATTAAGTTTTTGAAGGGATGATTTCAACTTTACTACAAGGAATTCTAGTTTAAAAGCTTCTTTAAAAGCAGCAACTCTATATCAAAGAAAATCATGATAGGAAATGCAAGCTCTGGAATATTGTATCAACTGGGAGATACATACTTCATATGTAAGTCCTGCTGAAATGTTGCTATATAAAAATGAATAGTTCACAAATGAGATGCTGAAATCCTCTGTTTTGTCGTAAAGTTTTGTTCTCCACCGACCCTTATTGTCAATTTCTAGAAGTAAGTCAAGATATGAGGCAGACTTAACTGTATCTGGTGTATCCTTTATTTCAAGTTGAACTGGATAGATGTGTTCAACATAGTCGCTGACTTTGAACTTTTAGTGAGAGAACATCATCTAGGTATAGCGGAACATGAAGGTATATGTGTAATTAAATGCTAGCTTCTTTTCATTCTTCATAAGAACTTATGAATTCAGCCTCATATGAATAAAGGAATAAGTGGTGAAGATGAGGATCACAGTTAGTTCCGTGCCTACAGGAAAACTGATTGTTAATTGAAATAACAAGTCCTTCAAACTTGGCATTTATGTTGTCGATCCAGAAACCAAGCATCTTGATAATGTCAGTTTCAGAGAATTTATTTTTTGAATTAAAGTGGATATTTAAAAAATACGATGTATCCCTCCCTAAAACAAGATGCTTGCTTCTATGTCAGCTATTCCTTGTTATTGAAAAAAGCAGGATTTTCAATTTTATTTTTAGTTTGAAATAGGGAAAACTTCTGTGAAGAGTAAAATAATCCAAAGTTAAATGTTAAAACAAAATTGCAAGAGGATAGAGACTTAGACTGTATGTACTCTACATGAATAACTGTAAGGGAAGAGTTTAATAGTACATGTACATGTAGTATATAATCCTGTATCTTATTTTGACTAAGTCAAACATTAATAACTGTCTGATCACATGGTCATATTGTCAGCAACTGTGTTATTATTACTTTTATGTTATAAACATATGGACATCTATGCATGCATGGTATATGCACTCACTGTTGTAATCATTTCATTATAAAAAGTCACATTACAAAACATATTGTCGAGTAAATTGATTAAGGGTCTCATTGTATTATTTCGTATCTTTTTGCACTGTACTAATATCAAGTCAATATACTTCTATTACAAGTGTTTGATATTGTTGTTTTTTAATCTATAGAGACAACACAAGATTGTTATAATGTTTTTTACCCATCCGTCTATCTGTCAGTCTGTCCGTTCATCCATCAGTCCTTTTCTTGTCATCGCAACTCCTCTAAAACCACCCAACAGAATTTCATGAAACTTTGTAGATACATGTACATAGAACATAATATGTAGATGTGCATATCAACAGGAAATTATGATTAATTTTTAGGCAGTTAAGCTGCCTTATGCTAACACCCTAGATTTGTGTTCTTCCCACTGAATGGTGTAAAAAGTGCTATTGATATTATCTAGCTAGCTAATATGTTATTAATAACTAATTGGGCACTTTTTTCATACTTTCAATTCAGGAATACAAAAAATATGACCAGAAAAACCTTAAATGATTGTCGAACCACCCAAAATTTTTGAAGTTGCACATAGGAAGCAGTGCTCAATAGAAATCCATACGTAGTTTATTATCCCATGTGATTTTGGCTAAGATGTTAAAGAACAATTGTATGAAATATTTCATCGCCGAAAATCTCTAATTACAAGTCGTTTACATTTCCCAAATGGCAAACGGCACAGGAAAATTGTTCATGTACACCAAATCTCTATGATAGAGGAAATAAAGTTATACATAGTAGTCTAAGTTCGCGGTAATTTTAACTTACACGAAACGTAAGCTAGTAAGGTCTAGTAAGTATTTTGATGTTATAAAGTAAGTTTTGTTTATCATGATCTTCTTTTCGTTTAAGAAGATTGTGATTAATTAATTAATTTCAATTAAATGTATGCACATTTAAATTCCTTTCTTTTATTAAATTATTCCGTTCATCACTGAACTTGCCATATAAAGTTGTTGTTGTTTTATGAATGACAAAGATGAAATTCGACGTTGATCGGATGTTTTATAAAATGTGGACAACTCGTCCCCGAGACAAGTCGGACCGAGTCCACTCGGACCTTCTAAGAAGACAACTCGGACCGCTTGTCAGATTTACTTAGACTAACATGTCTAGCGGAGCCATCAATCTTTCGTTTGTGCCTTGGGGTCAATTTAGGGGTATTTTGAGGGGCCTAAAGAAGGGAGGGGTTTACTATAGAACCCTATGCAGTGGCGGATCCAGAGGGGGCGTAGAGGGCGTACCCTCCTCCCCCCCCCCTTTGCTTGCACTTTTTTTTTGTTAAATGATTAATCAGACTAGACTTCGTGAACTTTGCCATTTCCCGTGTATTTAATTTTTATGCGACAATTCTTTACTTATAAAGATATTTTTCGCGGCTCGTATTTACTGTAATATATTATTGATTATGTCAAAGTCGTGTGATTCTCTACGGTGGAGTTGACCAGTTCGTCGAAAAAAACGTCACTCAGTCATTTTGAAATTCAAATTACAGTAACACATTGCTTAGGCTGAGGACGAGAAGCATGACGCCTTCAAAGCGACAAAGTATTGAGCAAGAACGTATTCGACTTCTATTTCACAATTCCACCCAACAGAAAGCAATACTCTATTACACTCTCATGAAAAAAAAAGATCCACAGCAATATTATTTACCTACGAAAACATGTTTAATCCCACACGCCCCAGCCCATTAATAACATTGCTGAATAGTGATGCCCAGTCAGTAAGCTCTAGATATAGATTTAAAGTCTAAGGTACGGACCATCTGATCTGAGGGGGCAGTCTGAGATATTTTAGAGAAAAAATTCTGACCCTGATTTTTGCCTCAAGCAAAAAATTCTGGCTGTATCTGGATTGAAAACAATAATCTTGTCCACTTTTTTGCTATTAAAAAAAAACATTTTAAACAGAATTATTTAGCATTAAATGAACATGATGAATAAAAAACGGGCGTAATTTTGTTTTTTTTTTTTGGGGGGGGGGGGGGGTTGCATGTGAATCCCATATCTGACCGGAATGTCTGTTTCGCCGAACTGATATACTGAATACTTTTTTTTCAAGGCCCGACTGGAACCTGGCTGCTGGGTGTGGCCTATATGTCTCCATGTGTCGACCGTCATTCACAACTTCATTGTCATTTCCGACTAATTCGTAGCCTTTGGTTGATTTGGAACCCCTCACTTCCCTTGTTGGGTAAAACATTTCTACCAAACATTTGGATGAAAATTGCTTGTTTGTCTTTCTTCGTGTCGGTCGTATTGTAAATTTCATTGAATAACCGTATATCTTGTTTACAACAAGAAATCTATGAGGTTATGCTTACTAACCATACAACAAGCGAGAATTTTCCATGTCCATTTTTTACTAACAAATCCCACATCAAATATATTAATTATAGTACATAGCTTTGGATCCATCCAATCATTTCATAATAGACAATTGATGGAGAGAATACGGCACCAAAAATGTCAAACCCCTACACTTTAACTATAAAATGCATTTTACACTTATTTTATGTTTTTTAGCCAAAAAAAGCTCCGCTCGGCGAACTTTAATACTACGCTCCCCCTTTCCAAAATCCTGGATCCGCCCCTGCTATGGGATTTTATTTTTTTTCAATTTTCAAATGACTACTACTTGAAAACATAGTGATAGACACACACGGTCTTCAGTAATAATAACAGGAGAATAGAATAAAATTAGATAAAATATAGGGTGAGTCCCTGGGGGGTCATCCCACCCCCTTCAATTTGAAAATGTGCTTTTATCTTGTAAACGGTCGCGATCCCCACCCTTACACCATATATATACTTGTATGGGACAATAAAACAAATCAAATGAAAATTTGGGGGAATCCCCAGCGTCACCCCATCCCCTTCTGTTTGAGAACTTGTAAACGGTCGAGATCCCCACCCCTACTGCAAATATATTTATACCCCACGCAACGAGTTGCGGAGGGTATAATGTTTTGACCCGTCCGTCCGTCAGTCCTGTTTCTTGTCATCGCAACTCCTCTCAAACCACACAACATAATTTCACGAAACCTTTTTAGATAATAAGGACATACTATGTAGTTGTGCATATCGACAGGAAATTACGATTCAATTATTTTTCTAGGAGTTACGCCCCTTTGAACTTATTTACTTTAATGTACTACTGCAACAGTTTGTCATCTCAACTCCTCTTAAACCACAGAACAAAATTTCATGAAACTTTGTAGATAATAAGGACATACTACGTAGATGTGCATATCGACAGGAAATTACGATTCAATTTTTTTTCCAGGAGATATGCTCCTTTGAACTTATTTGCCCAATATACTATTGCAACAGTTTGTCATCGCAACTCCTCTCAAACCACACAACAGAATTTCATGAAACCTTTTCAGATAATAAGGACATACTACGTAGATGTGCATATCGACAGGAAATTACGATTCAATTTTTTTTCTAGGAGTTACGCCCCTTTGAACTTATTTGCTTCAATATACCTCTGCAACAGTTTGTCATCGCAACTCCTCTGAAACCACACAACAGAATTTCATGAAACTTTGTAGATAATAAGGACATACTATGTAGATGTGCATATCGACAGAAAATTATGATTCAATTTTTTTTTCTTACAGTTATTTTATTTCTCCAGTGACAATGTAGGGACGTGGGGTATGTGAGCGCGCTCACTAAGGTTCTTGAATCTTGTATGGAACAATAAAACAAATCAAATGAAAGATAGGGGAGTCCACAGGGGTCACCCCCCCCCCCCCCTGTTTTTATACGACCGCAAAATTTTTGCGGTCGTATATTGGTATGACGTTGGCGTCGTCGTCGTCGTCCGAAGACACATTGGTTTTCGCACTCTAACTTTAGTTTAAGTGAATGGATCTCTTTGAAATTTTACCATAAGGTTCAATACCACAAAAGGAAGGTGGGGATTGATTTTGGGGGTTATGGTACCAACAGTTAAGGAATTAGGGGCCAAAAAGGGGCCAAAAATAAGCATTTTCTAGTTTCCAGACAATAACTGTGGAACGGTGTATGGATCTCTCTGAAATTATACTACAAGTTTCAATACCACAAAGGGATGGTTGGGATTTGCTTTGGGGGGTTATGGCTCAAACCGTTTAGGAATTAGGGGCAAAAAGGGGGAAAAACAAGGTTGTCCTGGTTAATGGACAAATACTTTAGTACAAAACATAATTTAAAGCAGTGTAAGGGAGATAAATCAAACACATAATTGAAATTATCTCCCTTACACTGCTTTTAAATTATGTATAAAGTAATGGTTAATGAACAATTAAGATAATTTAAAACAGTGTTAGGGAGGAAATCCAAATTTTGGTTACTTCCCTTACACTGCTTTTAAATTATGTTTAAAGAAATGCATATTTATAAAGGAAGACCAGTAAAAATATCTGCAAATGTTGCATCTTTTTTTTTTACAAAAAAATCCATATGAAAGATTTGACACTACATTTTAAATTCTATTATAAAATAGATTAAGTAAGCACTATGGTAAATTTAAATGGGTAATCATGGTTGCAAACTCCATTGGAAATTTGAATTGAGATTATGACCATATCTTGAGGGAAAGATTTTTTTTGGGGAAAAAAGAGGGGGGGGGGGGGGGGTAAAAAGAAATTGTGGGGGGTCAATTTTTTCTCTTTTCAGATTTCAGAAATTAAAAAGAATTATTCTTCAAATATTATTTTTTATTCAAATTTCAAATATTGAAAAATTTCAAGAAGTAATCTTTAATTGCACAGTATGGCGCATTAGATTTGTAAAATCTTTGACCACATTTATTTATTTGTTATGCCGAATCTAACCGTGTATTTAGATTTTTAATTTTGGGTCCACTTTTCAAATTGGTCTACATTAAGGTCCAAAGGGTCCAAAATTAAACTTTGTTTGATTTTAACAAAAAATAAATATATGGGGTTCTTTGATATGCTGAATCTAAACATGTATTTAGATTTTTGATTTTTGGCCCAGTTTTCAAGTTGGTCCAAATTGGGGTCCAAAATTAAACTTTGTTTGATTTCAACAAAAATTGAATATATGGGGTTCTTTGATATGCTGAATCTAACCATGTATTTA